GACACAATAGAGCTGGCCTGACTAGCAGGCAAAGCAGACCATGGGGACGATTGCTAGGCCAACTAGCCTGGTGGACCGCTCCCGCACTGGCAGACACACTGGCTCTGGTTTCTCTTCATCACGTACAAGTCTTTCGCCTTTTACTAAAGACTTCCGTGGAGAGCAACGCTAAAGAGTTGCATGTTATTTTTGGTGGGCTTTGCTTGCGTTGCTAAAGCCTTTCCTGTTTGTTGAAAGTGAAAGTGGCCTTACCTGGGCTGAGAGGGGCTCTCCTGGAAGACCCTCAACTCTACTCCTTTGACTGCCTTGAGGCGGCAGCTTGGAGTGCGCAATTGTGCCTCCAAGGGCGCCGACTGCAGCCTGTCGGAGCGCAAAGTGCGTCGTTGCTCAAGAGTGTTTAATGCGGGAAGGGGCGGAGGTGTGAAGTGGCCACCTTAAAAAGGATACCGCGACCAGTTCAGATTGTATCAGGAAGTGAGAGGCAACGCCAAGCCCTGGAGAGTTATCGCTTCTCGGCCTTTTGGCTAAGATCAGGTGTAGTATCTGTTCTTATCAGTTTAATATCTGATACGAAGCACGTAGCCGAAAGAGGGGCTGCTTCAGTTCGTCTTGGCAGGCTGAGATGTTTTCCAGAACTATCTCCTCCAAAATGCTTTATTAGGTTGAAGTCTTTTTTTTTTACCTTGTCGTGTTTAGCACCTGTAGAAGCACCTGCAAGCAGACACAAGAAAGAGACACACACAAACAGGCAGCAAAAACTGAAGGCCCCCACGACACTGGTAGTAATGACAGACAGGATATATTTCCAATTTTGTTAGATGGACCTTAGTCCATCTGAGTGAGTAAGAAATAGAAAATGTAATAAAGGGGAGAAGCTTCATGAAGTGAGAGCCACCAGCACGCTCATACATCGTATCAAGCTGCTCTAAGTAAAGCTAAATCATAGCACATTTATAGCCCTCTGAGTCTGGGATGAGGGCTAAAGTCTGTCTCCATCATAGAGAAACCTGCACCTGTACCAAACAGTCCCCAAGACAAAACATTAAGAGATAAAGCATGAGATGACCTTCTCTGAGACCTAGCTTCATGAACTGAGTTATGATGCAGACTACCTAAAAAACATCCATTGTTCACTAATAAAGCTCCTTAACTTAAATTTTTCCTCCATCTGTGTTCACTTAGCTGCTGTATTCAAACAGAAAATCTTTCTTTCCATCAGATGTTCCAGTTTTACCAGCACTGCCTTTAGCAGCCTCCTAATTCCAGACAAAACATAACTGACCAGAGGCTATGATCGTATATTGGCCAGTACTCTGTGTTGTGGTCACTGCACAACAGTTCAAATAGCAAGCTGTTCCAAGTGTTTAATGTTCACTTTTATTCAATTAAATTTGATCTATATAGCACCAAATCACAACAACAGAAAAAGCAGAAAGGAGCAGGTCAGACTATAACGCCTTCTCTCACACTAATGATCAAAGCTCTTACCGGGTAAGTATAGAAAATAAAACAATAAGATAAAGTTTTATAGCTGCATTTTTTCTAAGATTCAGTTCACCTATTGTCACTCACTGTTCAGTCAACACCATGAAGGTGGTAAATCTGTCCCACCACACTGTTGTGTGTGTGGTGTATGTATGTGTGTGTATGTAAAAAGTATAATAGTATAGTGTTCCACCAGGCACATGAGTCAGAATTAACTTCCACATACACGTATTCAATTAAACCCTTCACATACTATACTGAAAACCTTGCACAAACACTGGTCAAAAGCTCTCATAAAAACTAGTGAAAACATTTACGTCTACTATAACCTCTTATGCAAAGTAGTGATAACTGTTTATTAAACTGGTGAAAGGCTCTCATGTAAACTGGTCAAATGTTTGATCAGTATCATCGTCATCAAAAGAAAATAGGACTGGAGTCGAACGGATGATTCAGATTCTCCTATCAGAGGTATCCTCTCAGTTCAATATCCCAATAGAGGCAGAGCTTTGGTCAGTGAATCTGGAACATAAGTGGATAAAAAGATAAAGCACCACACTGCTTGGTCCATGAGAAGAAAAGCCACATTGACCACAGTCTGGCTTTCTGCTGCCTCCTGGAAGTCATGCCACCATCTGAGAACATCCGATTCCTGGGAGTCCATGAGAAACTGTGTTTTTCTGACCTTAAAACCACTTTAGAGTGTACAGGGAACTCAGTTTATCATGAACTAGATTCATACTGTGAAGTCCTAGGTAACTTTATTGCGATTGTTCTTATTATAGATTGATGAACTGTTATAATTGGCTGTTAATTACATATTTTAAGATTAGAAATTTCACTGAGTTCTCTGTTTCACTCTTTCTTGTACTGACCGCTCCAAAGCATCATGACAGTACTGAGAAACAGGTTTATTGTCATGTCTGCAGAAAGTTACAATGCAGAAAGTTTGTTCTTTTTGTTAGAATCTCTGCTAGCTTTAAACCTCATTCACTTTAATCACTGATTAACTTGTCTCTATTCACTCACAAAGGCCCCTGGAAATATGAATAGGAAAGTATAAGACCCACCATTGAATGGTCACAGCGGAAAAACTGACAAAGTCTCCTTGATGGTCTAATTGCGAGCATTTGATGCTTTCACCTTCACTTTGTTTAATTTGTTAGAATCAAAATGTTGGACGATTGTGGAATTGATTGAATGATGGATGGATGACTAAATTGTTTTTTGATTTACTTGAATGGGATAATTTTAGTGTCTAAAGCTTACATGTATGGTGTTTTGTTGCTTTATGAAAAACAATTAACTGAATGTCCACCATTGAAGTCCAACTGCAGTAAGTTCAGCTAAATGATGTGAGAGGTGGAAATGATTCAGACCATAACCAGTGTTGCAGAGGCAGAATGACATAACACTGTAAAGCAGCTGTAAGACCTCATGGCTCAACGGTAGAGCGTCTGACTCCAGATCAGAAGGTTGTGTCAGTGGGGTAAGGAGTACAGTGTTGTGGATTCCTTTGTTGTGTGGTGTGAGACTGACCATCTGCATCTTAATACAACCAAGACATAGCAGCTTCTTGTGGATTTCAGCAATAGGATATCTGCCCCCACAGCCATTGTGGAAGTGGTCCAGCATCATGAATACCTTGGAGGACAGCAGGACCAACAACACTGAGGCTATTTACAAGAAGGCACCATAAAGTGCTGTTGTTGATCATAAACAGTCACTGACATGGTGATGAGGCTCTTCTTGTGCTTGTGTTGAGCAGCTGACATCATCTCTCCCTCTCAGGCTTATGCAGACTTCCTTCTCATGGTGGTTTCTGTGTAACGATGAAAGTGGCTCGTTGGTCTAGGAGTATGATTCTCGCTTTGGGTGCGAGCGGTCCCGGGTTCAGATCCCAGACGAGCCCTTATAAAAAACTGGATAAATACTGGATAACCACAATGAAATGGTGGTTGACACATTTTCCACAGATATGTGATGAGGATTAGACAGATAAACCATCTGACAAAGGTGAGAAAGGCTACAGGCCCAGAGTTCAGTGTCAACATTGCCAATAATCTGCACTTGCCAAAAAAATTAGTTTTATTGAACTACATGAAGCTTCCACGAACAGTAAGGGGTGAAGAGAATTTAGAGCAGGTGAATTTTGGTTTGGGTTTTGATGTCAATTTGTCATATTTCCACATTTCTAAAGTTTACATGTATGGGGATTACGTCACCTTTCTCTGCTTTTTAGGCCTGGTTGGTGCTACCTGGCTCCATTACTCTGATTCTCCCATCCAAAAGGCTTCACCCCTCTCCATTCTCCCACTGAAAGTTTAGCCAATGTCTCTCCGCCTCACAATGGACCCAGCCTATCCACACCCGAGCTAACAATGGAAATCAGCTAATCAAGGCGAAGCTTAACTTGGAGCTTCTTAATTGCATTATTATTATAGTTATTAACCACAAAGGTTTGCACAACATGTACTGAAACAGGACACAGCTGGTTTCCATTGCTAGGAAGCTCCAGTGGCGCAATCGGTCAGCGCACGGTACTTATAAGACAGTATTCTGAGAGCTATGCCGAGGTTGTGAGTTCAAAGTAAAAGATAATCACATGAAATAAACTGAAAACATCAAAGTCCAAACAATGCAACATATTTACAAATACTCAGAGCACACTCTGGTGGTTTACATCAATAAACTCAACAATGGTTCATGGTTTTGAAAGAGTCTCTGTCCCTTTTTTCTGCTGATTGTGGTTTCAGAAATACACATAAAAGTCCATAAATGTTAATGCAGAGCAAGTTTTTTTTTTTCATTAAAGTTTTTTTATTTATTTTTCTTTTATAACACAATTACAAACAGATGACTACCTCTATATTCAATGTGTCCTGTTTCAACAATTCTGAACTGGCCTCATTTTTTGCATGTGTTGTGCAAAACAATGCGCTTCATAATTAGAATGATAAAGTGATTAATACGCTCCAAGTTAGGCTTCACCTTCATTGGCTGAATTCCATTGTGAGCTCGGGTGTCGATAGGCAGGAAAACTCGTTCAATGGTTGCCACTCCAAAGAATCAGTATGGCATTGGGAGATAAAAGCCTGTCGAGCTAGCTAGGAGTCGAACCTAGAATCTTCTGATCCGTAGTCAGACGCGTTATCCATTGCGCCACTAGCCCTCCCATTGGCTGGGCACATGGATTGTGGGAAATGGCTAGATGGCTCGAAGAGAGAACATGATGTCCCAGTTGAGGTTGCCTACATTCCCACAGTTCATAAAGAAGAGCAGTGGGACATTTAACCATTTAATATTAAGCGTAACATCCATTGTTTACAAAGAAAGAGCCTTCACTTCACCTTTTCCTCCTCCTGTGTTCCCTTATCTGCTGGATTCAAACAGAAAATCTTTCTGTCCATCAGATGTTCCAGTTTTCCCAGAACTGCCTTTAGCAGGCTCTTAATTCCAGACACAACATAACTGACCAGAGGCTGTGATGGTGTAGTGGTCAGTACTCTGCGTTTTGGTCACAGCAGCTCCGGTTTTATTCTGCGTCACAGCAAGCTGGTCAAAGTGTTTTGGAGCTGAATATGGCTGGAATGTTGAATGTTGCTGAAGCTGCTGGCAGTGACATCACTATGGTAACACAAAGGCCACAATGACATCACACAGAGCATGTAGTCATGAAATGTTTAGGCTGACTAACCAGAGATTATTTAGGAGGAAAACAACAACTTGCTGTTGCTCATAAGAAATTTTAACAGAGGTGGACTGTTTGTCTTTTAGTCACAGAACCCATTTTTGATGATTTGCCAGAAAAATATTTATTTTTTCCTTTTTAAAAATCGATTTTTGATTAATACCCAGTCAAAGTTGTGAATACATGTCAGTCAAGATGAGACTATGATCCGCTAGCATTACTTTCATGATTCATATTCATAGAGATAACAAGGTGGTCAAATCATCACTAGATGGAAAGGAGGCAAAAGATACACAAGCTGCAGAATAGTTTAGGGAAATGTTCCTTTAGAGCAGGGGTCACCAACCTTTTTGAAACGGAGGGCTACTTCATGGGTACTGAGTCACACGAAGGGCTACCAATTTGATACACTCTTCTGAAATAATACATTTCCTCAATATGCTTTTAGCTATACTTTATTAATAATCATTAATGATACTCATTTGTGACAACAGTGACAACAAAATGGGAAACATATCAATATCCACCACTTTATCTCTGTTTATCTCAGCAACTGTTAACTTTTTAAATGATCACTTACTGTACATCACTACATTTACATAGGAGTTTTGAATTTCACTCATTTTCACTAGCCACTGACAAAACCTTTTCACAAATCATAAACTATGTTGCACCATGTTTCAAAAAGTTATCAATTATCTAATGTTAAAGAAAAATCAACTCACATATTAAAAAGAAATCTGAAATCTCATGACCAAATCTTTATCAGATTGGCATTGCCTGCTGTTCACCAGTGCATTGTAATCTGGTGTGTAACTTGACACTGCAACTGTGAGTGCGTATTTCAGATGTGCTTTTTCTGCCCGTAGTGCGCTTCCCGGTGGCTAGTTAGTTAGCATGCTAGCTTTTGTGGTGAAGTGAAGTGTCTCTCCACATTGTGCCGCTTTGCCGTGGCCACAGTTCCCCCGAAAATCAGACACACGCAGGTTTCTTTTACAGTCGTAAAAAATAACTCCTCCTCCCATTCGTTGTGAAAGTCATAAGTTTTCTTTCGTTTTTCTGCCATGTTTTTGCACCCATCTCGGCTGCGCCCGCTAGCTTACTCTCCACTGACTCTGGTTTTGTTTTGTCACGTGCCCAATACTGACCTTTGAACTAGAGAAAACTTAAACTTAATATATAATGAACATATTTTTAAGATATTGTCATTTTAAATCAAATCTATATGAATGCAAGTGTGATTAAAAAGAGAATAGCAACGGAACAAAATTAAATTTTAGACGCTGCTCACTATTGAGTTGTGCTATTTCTAGAACAGGCCTGCGGGCGCCTCGGGTGGTCCGTGCGGGCGACCTGGTGCCCGCGGGCACCGTGTTGGTGACCCCTGATCTAGGCAGTTCAGATATATAATCTAGTTCAAGCCAATTAGAATTAAAATCCAATGTAATTAAATCACAATATAATCAATTCCGGTTTATTAAATTCTGAATTTGTCATATTCATACAGAGCCAATTAGCAAAAAGTTTTCAGCATAAAGACTCTTCCTCATTATGGCAATAGTCAGCCATTTCCCCCCTCAAATTGCATCAGTTGGATTGTAATTCAGTTTAATTGTATTGATATAGCGCCAAATCTCTACAAACATCACCTCTAGTCTGTTTAAGAAACAGGCTCCCATCACAAATGAGGTCTAAATGTAATTTCCAAATCACAAAAGGAGCCTTAAAAAACTATATTATTGACAGTTGATCAATTAAAAGCTGTATCTGATACATTTTTCCCCTCACAGTTTTCAATAATTTAGAAAAAAAATGTACCTTAATTGGTAAAAAATACGAGATATGCCCATAGAGGGCAGATAAGATGACTCAGAACGGTCTGTCAAAAGCCAAAATCATAGAAAAACAAAGGAAGCATGACTGAATTTCTCCCAGATTGCAATGACAAATCACAGAGTGAAAAAAAAGCCTCCATCTTTTCAGATGTTGTTTTTCACTGAGGGGTTTTTCTGGAATTGTGGTTGGATGTAGGCCACTGAGCCACAGCCCTAGACCTCCCGCTGTCTCCCAACGTCCAGGGTAAAAGCCCACAAAGACGAGGTGAGTCCAGCCAGAGTAGCAAACGGGCAGCGGACACAGTTCAAACTGAAATAAATCTAACGTACATTAGAAGCTGGGCCTTTTGCAATGGCTGCCTTTTAGGTTTTAAATGTTTCCAGAGGCTCACCTCTAATACTCTATACCATACCTCTAAATGATGCTTGATACTCTATGCAAATGCATGTTTTTCCATTCTGCAAATGGAAAAATAAATTCTATTATTGACCTACTGAGGATGGAAAGTTAGTATTGGGTGATTTCTGTTTTTCTGGGTTGTGTTTTGAAGTGGTTGGTCTGGCTCGGTATTTATTCTTTCTATATTTATCTCATATTTGTCATATTCGATCAGCCTCAGATGCTGCCACTGACTCATTAGTCCCCCCCCCTCAGTGTTTATACCCATTTGTGTTCCTCACACTTATCCATTTTTTTCATTACAATTCTTCTGGTCTGTTTCTGTATATTGTTCTTTAGTTTCCACATTTTTCTTTCACGATTTTTGGCATTCTTAGTTCGTATTTTAAAAAGAAAAATAAAGACTTAACATCAGTTGCTGTTCTCCACATGGTTCATTTCATTATAATTATAAGAACAATATGACATGTAAATAGAGGTAAGATCATTTTAAGGAAACAGATAGATCAACCTCAACACTTAAAAATGGAGTAAAGTGAATGACGCTGATCATGTTTGAACTAAATCCAGGAAACGGACACAGATTGCGATCAACCTTGGCCCCGATGCTGTTAGGAGTCCCAGACGGCAGCTGGACGACCACACCATGGCAACCAACGGCAAAGGGCAGTGACACACAAATTCAGAAAATCCTGTGATGCGTTCAGGATCCTCTGGTGGTCCCAAAGACCCAAAGGATCTGCTCCGTTATCTGCCAGCTCAATAAGCAACGTACGTTATCATGAAGATGGTCGTGACGTTAAAGATTTTAAATGCAGAAAGATAATGGCTTTTATTTTGTAATATATCTAAGATGGGACTAAGTGTAACCATTAATGTGTAAGAACTTTTGGAATGTCCCAATTTAAGCGGTTTTTAAAAAAATACATACTGAACAAAGGGCTATGTATTGTGTGCAAATACTCTTTAGTGTCTAGATTGTATTTACAACAGAAAAGAAACAGCATTGAGAGAAAAATAATCATTTTTAAAGAGAAAAACTGTGTGAGGGAAATGTACACAGTTACCAAGAGCCTAAAGATGACATTTGTCAAG